TCTACAGATCCCCAAACTGTGGCCCACTAAATCAAAGGAACTTAAGAACCTTAATATACAACCCGGCGATGCTCAACCCTAGCTACCTCCTTATCATGGGAGACTTTAACTATGGCGACATCGACTGGAGGAACGAGTCCACCCCGAATGACTTGAATAACCCTGCTACTCCTTTTGTAGAAACTCTGAGAGATAATTTTCTGTTCCAACATGTTAGAAACCCGACACATTACAGAGGGGAGCAAACACCCAAGCCACTTGACCTCATCATAACAAACGAGGAGGGTATGGTGGCCAAACTGGAACACCTTGCCCCAGTTGGCACCAGTCACCATATAGTGTTGTCATTCAGATTTAACTGTTACCTAGTTCAGGATAAGGTCAGGCCAAGGTGCAAATATTACAAGGGAAATTACAATGGGATGAGGGAAGAGATAAGGGGTATCAACTGGCCTGACTTGTTAAGATACAAGATCGCAGACACTACGCTGAATATCATAACTAGTAAAATGACCCATTTGATCGATAAATATATACCCAAGACCAAACCGAGTGCTTTTAGGAATACGAGGGGATCCCTACGCATGAACCATGCGGCGGTCGACAAAATTAAGAAGAAAACCCAGAAATTCAAGACAGGAGGATGTATGCAAGAGCCAGAAACCAAGCAAAGATAGGGTGTAGGAGGGCTGAAAAGGAGTTCCAGAGGCTGGTTGCAAGCGAAGTCATTTCAAACCCAAAGGCATTTTACCGCTATGCAAAGTCGAAATTGAAAACGCGAGTAGGAGTATCAGACCTGAGGCTGGTGGATGGTAGTTACGCAGATTCTGACCAGGATAAAGCTGAGGCATTGAACAGCTTCTTTTCCTCGGTGTTCACAAGAGAGTATGCAACTAACCTTCCTGCGTTTGAGGACAGACGGTTCGACACAGCACTGACCCACATTGTGTTTACAGAAGAGGGTATTAGAAATAAACTGTCCAGGCTAAAGGTCCTTAAGAGTCCCGGACCTGACATGGTGCATCCTAGAGTGCTAAGAGAGTTGTACAACGAGCTTGCAGAGCCCCTGAAGATCCTGTTTTGTAAATGCCTGGATGAACAAATGGTCCCCAGTGAATGGAAAGTGGCTTATGTGAGTCCTATCTTCAAAGGCGATCGTCACTCCACGAACAACTGTAGACCGGTGAGCCTGACCAGCATAATATGTAAAGTACTTGAGAGTATTATCAGAGATGCCGCAATGGAACATCTAATACGAAACAACCTTGTAAAAGATTGCCAACACGGTTTTATGCCGGGGCGCTCCTGCTTAACACAATTGCTCAAGGTATTGGATATTTGGACCCATATTCTGGAACGGGGTGGTAATATCGACAATATTTACTTAGATTTTTCCAAGGCTTTCAACAGTGTACCCCACGAAAGGCTGAAAATCAAACTGGAAGGGTACGGAATTCGAGGAAATGTCCTAGCGTCGATAGAAGACTTTTTACATGACAGAAAGCAGTGTGTGGTGATTAATGGCACAAAATCGTCATCTATACCTGTCACAAGTGGGGTACGACAGGGCAGTGTATTGGGCCCACTGTTGTTTGTTTCATAAATGACATGCCTGACGTTGTACACAAGTCCATACAAATGTTTGCCGATGATGCCAAGTTATTTCGGGAAATTAAGAACCAAGGGGTTTGTGAAGAACTGCAGAAGGACCTCTGTGGGCTCCAGGAATGGTTAAAGAAATGGCTGCTGAGATTCAGTGTCATGAAGTGTAAGAGGATGCACCTGGGGCATACCAACGGTAAGGAGGCGTATCATATGTCCCAACAGGATGAAGAAACTGCACTAGTTGAGAGTGTGTGTGAGAAGGACCTAGGTGTGTATGTTGACAATGATCTGAAATTCTCGGGCCATTGCGAGAAGAAGGTAAATCAGGCAAATAAATTATTGGGTCTTTTAAGAAGGTCGTTCAGATATCTAAACGGTCCGTCCCTCGAAACGATCTTCAGGAGTTAAGTGCTTCCCTATCAGGAGTACTGTCACCCCATCTGGTCCCCGAGATATGCTAGAGACTGTCAGTTGGTTGAAAATGTTCAAAGGAGGGCCACCAGACTGGTGCCTGCACTTCGACACCTCAGCTACCCTGAGAGATTGGAGCGCCTGAACTTGCCTAGCTTATACTACAGACAGGCAAGGGGGGACCTAGTTGAGGTGTATAAGCATCTCAGGGAGCACTACTCAGTTGAGTGCCCTTACTTGGAGCTGGCGGACGCTCGCCCCACAAGGGGTCACAGCTCAAGATTGAAGAAGCCGCAAGTCCAGAAAACCGTGAGGGCATCTTTTTCGGAGTGAGGGTTGTAAACTCTTGGAACAATCTGCCAGAGAGTGTTGTGACGGCACCATGTGTGAGCTCTTTCAAGACAAGACTTGACCAACACTGGAGCGGGTTTAGGTACATTCAGGAGCCGGTGCATGTCCAGTATTTGCCAACAATGCGCCCGGGCGGCTAGCGAGCCGATCTTTTGGTGAAGAAGATAAATGAAAAGTAAAAGTAATCAGAGACGTGACCAATCGCCCAAGCGGCTAGCATGCCGATCAGTGGTGAAGAGGATAAAAGTAAAAGTAAAAGTTGTCTGCTGCTTGTAACTAAAGGATCCGAGCCAGTGAATTTCACGATGGTCTACCCCGGCGCACTTCACAAAGCAAGGTGGATGGCTAAACTGTTCTATACCCTCAAGATTGTTCTTTTGTCAGGCCAGATCAAAGAGCAGTTTCCCAAAGCCGAGGTTGTGACTAAAAGTCAAATCAGCAAGTTAGAACGGTTTGCTGTGTTCACAGTCGCTGTTTATGTCCCATGGTGGATTGTTTGCCCCGTTCCAGCAAGTGCGCCACTGAATGACTTGAATTTGATCGAAACCTTGGCTGAATTTGCCCCATATGACGCCACAATAGTTGACAAAGCACGTGTGGCACTCGGTAGACACACTTGGTACCTAACTGAGGAGTTGGCCCCACTGGCTTTGTTCTCGTCCCAAGTACCAGAAAGGACAAAAGAGGAGATGAGGAAGGCCCTTCTTTGCCATGAAGGCACTGAAGTTACTAAGAGAGTGGGGCTCAATCATGGGGGCTATGGAAAGCCATATCTTCCCCCTGTCCCAGAAAGTGGCACTGCCCTGGTGGACCTAATTGGGCCTGACTCAAGCCGGTTCTTCACCATTTTAGGCATGCCCTATCAGTTTCTCCACAATCCAGCCAGTGAATGGGCGGATCATGACGACTACCTGAACATGAAACGGGTTGTGGACATGCTTCAGGTCGTCAATGAGGCTGCAGAGCGTGGTGTAAAAATTTGCCAGGGATGAGGAGCGCTTTCAAGAAGTCCTTCAAGTAGTTGAAAATGACAGACTCCGCGTTCCTAATCAGCGCAGATGATCATCTGTTTCCCAACAGAAATCATGATTTCTTGCTCCAGAGAAATAATACCTTGTGAATATATGATAAAACCCCTTAATGTACTATGAGAGAATTAGAATGATTAACTTTTTTGTGTTTGTGATAACAGCTTTTAATTAAGACAGGCAAATGGTTTGTGTTAATATCCCTTATGATGGTTGTGTAATCTCATATATAGGCGCGTATGCCTATAAGCAAAATCGCTATTTTCCAAATTGCTGATGCATACTCAAATATGCATGAATCTTCAAAAAATTGCACGTGGGTATTTTTTATGTCAATCTGCAACACCAAAATTTTGAACAGCATTGTAGGACAAAGTTGGGGCAACTGTCACACCCTAATGCACGCAGGTGGTGTCGGTCAACTGGCGGATGTTGGCCCTGGTCGGTTCACTGGCCAGAAGTATGTTGAAGTATTAGAGGACGTTCTTCTACCATCTGTTGAAGCATTACTTTTCCAGCAGGGAGAACCATTCTATCTCGTGCAGGACAACGGCCCCATTCATACGTGTCACGCAGTTCGGGAGTGGTTTGGGCGACATCCATATATCACACTTCTCCCACATCCACCCGGATCTCAACCCGATAGAGCATGTATGGTCGGCTATGAACAAATACAACATTCCTTCAGCGGGACGTCACCCGACTCAAGACTATGTCCTCACCCGTGCCTTGGAGGCATGGGAGTGGCTTCGAGGTCCTAAAGGACTTGACCTGACATCTAAGCTTGTAGCATCAATGCCCTGCAGGTTGAATGCCGTTATAGAAGCAGGTGGTGGTTACACCAAGTTCTAACATAATAAAAGATATTTCACTTCCTATATATTTCACACACACAGGACCCAATATCAGATGTTACTCAATAATATGGGTGATAAGATAACAGTAACGTGACACAGCTGATTACGGGGTTGAACAATTGGTAAATAAGCCACTACCCACCGGAAATCATTATCAAAGGGCCCGTAAAGTATTACATTTAGATTACACAATGTTCAGTATGCAATGACATTATGAAATGGATCAATATGTGGGTGCTTCTATATTGATATTTGTGAGATTCGAAACGTGTGGAATGAGACAGACGAAATATATCTCCATACATCAACGGTCGCAGCTCACCAGGATTACAGGGCTGCCAACATATGGCAGGAACAACTCGCCTTTCCCAATACCTATCATCACTGGTCTCAAATTGTTCACACTACAGTATGCACCGATACTTCTTGTTACGAGTGTATGTATAATATTGTGACCTTTTTATAGGTTAACCTAATGTACCCAAACTTAAAACTAACCAAAAATTTAGTAACCTCGTAAAAGTAACCTAACCAAACTTAAACTAAACTAACCTAACTTAACCTAACCAAAAATTTACTAACCTAACCACACTTAAAACTAACCTAAAATTTATTACCCAAACCTAAAACTAGCCTAACCTAACATAAAATTAACCTAACCCAACTCCCCATACTGTTATAGTGCTTAATCATCAGGTGAAATACACAGATGTAGGGAGTGTTTAATAACATATCGATTGCACTTCAGGTTTACAGTCTTCTCCTGGAGTATGGCAAAGTGCTGCTGGCCCTCATGTCAAAACAACGACTGTCCCATTATCTGACACAACACCTCTCAAGCTGTACTGTCACACTCTCCATTCAGCTCCAGAAACTAAGGTGATTATTACTTTGTTATCTTTTCTTGTTGGGGACACGGGAAGAATATCTGTCAATCTTCTTTAGTGTGTGTGTGTGTGTGCGTGCGTGCGTGCGTGCTTAATGCGTGCATGCTTGGTAAAAAGCCAGATGTAATCTCCTGTGCTAATAAAGAGTTTTTAAGGACATTGATATTTTTTATGTTGACAGTTACCAATTTCGTCTTGTGTGGGGTGTGTCAGACCCATTACTTGGCTGGCTTGTCCACCTGATATAACCCCCTTGACTTTCTTCTGGGTCTTCTGCCAGGGACATCCTTTCAGATTTTGTTTAGGGGGGCAACACCATTACATGCAAAGAGTAAGGGTCAAAATCCTGCTCCATGGTATTTAGCATTGACCTTGGAAACCTTTGATGTGGTGACTGCATAATTAATTACTAAATTGTCAATAAATTGAGTACAGTACAGTGGTCCCTCGGTTAACGAGCACAATCTGTTCCAGCAGGTTGCTCGTTAACCAAAAATCTCGTTAACCGAAACCATTGTTTCAATGGGTTTTTGGGTAATTGGTTCCAGCTCACCGAAAATTGCCTAAATTCAACAAAAAAGGTAGAAAATTACACTTACTTTGAGGTGTGTATGTAGAAGGCTCCTGGATGATGATGATGATGATGATGTGAATTTGAAGTGGGAGGTGAAGGAGGAGAAGGGAGAAGAGAAGGAAGTGGAGGTGGAGGAGAAGCATTTTACTGCTTCTTGGAAGGTGAGTCACCTTCCATGAAAATGTCAGGAACCTCTGGACTGACAGATTCTCCACCATGAACATCCTCTCTCCTTCTTGAAGTGGAAGGTTGAGGGATAGCATCTTGTTCCCTCTGCCTTTTACTGAAGAAAGTGTCAATTGTGGTCTGTGGGGCATCTCTCCTCCTCATCATTAACTTATGTTTAAAGAAGGAGACCATTGTGTCCTCAACATGACACAAAGTTAGTTCAGATTTTTCCACATCTGGGTGCTTTGAAGCCAGTTCCCTGAACTTCTCCCAGTGGTAAGTCACGTCTTTCAACTCTGAAGTTGACATATGGTCATCACTTTCCATTTCCTCCTTACCATTGTCAGCCTCAAACATCTCATCCAGTTGCTTCAAGTCATCGGGAGTAAATTCCTCCTCATGAGACATCACAAGCTCTTCGACATCATCCTCTTCCACTTCAAGGCCCAATGACTGACCAATGGACACAATCTCCTGGTCCAACTCTGTGTCATCCTGAAATCCCTCAAAATCATGGACTACTGATGGCCACAGTGCTTTCCATGAAGAATTGAGGGATCTAGTGGAGACTTCTTGCCATGATGACACAATCAATTTTACAGCCTCCAGGATGTTGAATTGTGTCTTCCAGAACTGTTTCAGTGTTAGTTCAGGATCATTGGAAGTTGCCTGATGACACCTCCTATACATTTTCTTCATGTACAACTTCTTGAAGTTGCTGATCACATTCTGGTCCATTGGCTGTATGATTGATGTAGTGTTGGGAGGCAAAAACAACACTTTCACAAAGTCAAATTGATACTCCAAATTGCTGGCAAGGTCAGGGTCATGACCAGGAGCATTATCCATGAGGAGAAGAGACTTTAAAGGGAGTTTATTGGTGGTTAGGTAGCTCTTGACATAAGGGCAAAACACATCAACAGCCCATTCATTAAAGAGCTGTCTTGTCACCCATGCCTTATGGTTGGACTTCCAATAAACTCCAAGCTTTGCTTTTACCACTTTCTGTTGCTTGAACACCCTGGGGTTTTCATAGTGGTAGACAAGCATAGGCTTCAATCGGAAATCCCCTGAAGCATTGGCACCAAGCAATAGAGTGAGACGGTCTTTCATGGGTTTATGCCCAGGTAAAGAGGCTTCATCTCTGGTGATGAATGTTCTTTTGGGCATCTTTTTCCAGAACAGCCCAGTTTCGTCCACATTGAACACTTGCTGTGGAAGATAATTTTCTTCTCCCATCAGTTCTTTAAATTCCACTAAAAACTTTGCTGCCCCTTCCTTATCAGCACTAGCAGCCTCACCATGCCTAATAACACCGAAAATGTCACTTTTTTTTTTTTTAATTTTTCGAACCAGCCTTTGCTGGCCCGAAAATCTTCAAATTCTGTGCCTGAAGAACCAGGTTCATCTGTCTTTAAATGTTCGTAAATCTCCCTGGCTCTTTCACAAATGAATTCAGTAGAAACTGAATCACCTTTCATCTGTTTTTCCCTAATCCAGGTGAGAAGTAACCTCTCTGTTTCTGCAATTAGGGCTCTACCTTTAAACACTCTGGTAGATTTGTCTCTCACTTTCACTTCTTTAAATTTGTCTTTCTGTGCAAGAATTGTCGACACAGTTGATGTCGACATGCCATATTCTTTGCATTGCGCATTTGTTCTAATGCCTTCTTCATGTTTCTTCATAATTTCCTGCTTGGTTTGGATTGAAATCGCTTTTCTTGATCTCTTAGGCCCCATGCTGGATTCAAACAATGTCAACTCGTGATCTTTTAAGTTTAAACATGCTGTAAATAAAAAATATTTTCTTTATAAAAATACTGCACTGCGCTATATATTGTCACTATGTAAAATAAATTTCGAAATGACCAATAATTTGCTTGGAAACACAGAAAAAAGCCTTTAGTTGAAGAGAGTCTCAAGCAAAATGTTACCTCCACTGAAAACAGAGAGAGACTAATGCTTGTTTGGTGTGTTAACAGGTTGGATGGCGCGCCAGAAACTAGTGACCTTACCTTCAATTATGTTCAATAATTGTTAAAATGACTAAAAAATTTAATATTAAACTTTTAAAATTATTGAATAGTATAAACTTCTTGATATTTAATAAAATAGTCAGGAATTTAAGCCCTACAACCGATTACTGTATTGACGGACTGATACTACAGCTGGTTGACCGCCAAGTACAAGCGAAAACATGTTCAGGTCGGCTCGTAAGAAACTCGTTAATCGAGGGATTGCTCGTTAACCGAAGTTAAGAATCTTATGGGAGGTAACTCGTTAACCGAGGGACCACTGTATAGTACAATGGCTGTGATAAATAAACCCAATATTGTTCTTTAACTTATTAAGAGAACAATAATGATTCCAGCAAAGCAAACTTCTCTTTACCAACATGTTGAGTACGACTCTTGAATTGTTGATCAAATAATTGTATCAGCTAATATACTGACAAAAATAGTGAAAAAATCATCAGTTAACAAATCAGAATATTCAGAATAGGATACATCTTTGACATACTCAGTCTACAGCTAGTGGCTATTAACTGTTTTTACATCAGAGGGTAACGGCAGTGCTTCAGTCGAGCAAAATTATCAACCAGTTCTTCCTTTTCGAATGATTTAACCATTTTCTGTTCATTAGCCATTAAAAGTAGGCTGGAAGGGCAGTCATCACCCGTTGTTGTTCTCTGGTAATCTTTGACGCGTTTTAGCACTGAAAAATCTTTAATTGCTCGCAATAGTAACCGGAATGGCCAATAGTATTAGTAACAAATTGAGTACGTACTTCAGAAAAAGCAATTGGTAAAGCATTTAGATTCTGGTACATATCAAATAGGTCCTGAGGCTTCTTCTGATCTAAGAATACCTTTGCAGAATGCAGTTGTGAAGATAACATAACTGAATCAATGTGCGCACTGTAATATTTAGAAAACAAAGCACGCTTTTCTTCACCAAGGAATTGTTTTATTGAACATAAAAAGAGGAGATGGACTGCAGAAGATCAGTGTTATTGCTAAACCTCCGATCATATTCAGCTGTGCACCTATCAATTACTGATAAGTACAACTCTGACTTCAATTGGTCTTTTAAGCTGTTTCTCTGAACATTCTCTAGATATTTTGAATGCTTCCCAAGTGTGCTGATTGACAGATAATCTTTCAAAGTACCGTCAGTTCTGCTATAACGCGATAGTTGTGTTCTTGTAAAACATCGTGTTATAGAAATTCGCGTAATAGAAATAACAGGGCTTATGGAGAAAATAGGGTTAGGTGCAGATTACTCCAAATCGAAATTTTTTTTCGTAGTTAGCCTAACACAAAGGATAGCACAGTCTAAATAAATGTTACATTCATATCTAATAATGAAATCATACAGTAAATGTATCACTTTACCTTGAAAAAATATGAATATAACTTGATGGGGGAGAAGGTTGATGTTGAGGAGTCAAGCAGACAGGATTTGACAGTTGTCATCATCATCATCAGGTGCAGTTTTTCTTTAGGTCCTCATATATTGTTAAGGCTTTCTCTTTAATGGTGAGGAAGCTGGTCCCAGATCACTTTTTCGTTTGATCTTCTATCCAAACACTTAGAAGCCATTCCATCTCCTCAAGTTCCTTTGGCCGTGATCTCACACTTTTGCTAGCACTCAAGGTTTTTCCAGCAATACAGCTTGCTTTAATCTTTGCTGCATTGTCTCTAATGGTGCGTAAAGTTGACTCCTTTATTCCCGTTGCACGCACAATATCACATGTTCTTTCCTTATTTTCAAAACAATTGACAACATCAAGCTTTTCTTCAAGTGTTATAGCCTTTCTTTTACGATCACCACCGGAAATGCGATCACCAGAACACTTCCCGGAGATATTCTTCTTTTCCATAGTCACCAAATTGGAGAAACAGTACCGTATATCTCGGCTTATAAGACGGAATTTGAACATTAAAAAAAACTGCCCAAAGTTAGGGGGTCGTCTAAACCACCAAGTATAAAATTCTTACCTCTTAAATATTGTGGTTTAGTGTGTACGGAGTGGTGATGGAAACATCATAAGCCACTCACAAGGTCTTACCACTAATTATTTTATACTGAAACTTACGTTTGGCAAGCTGGATTCAAATTAAGATTACCGGTATATTAAAATAATAAAAATGTATTATAAACCTGTCTAACATACCGTAAAAGAGAATTATACCCCTGTAATAAACACAGCTATCATCACACACCCCTCCCCACGCCCCCCCCATTTGCCAGTGAGGAGACAAGAAAGGGAAAGTGACCG